ATTTGCCTAATTTGCATATGTCAGCAATATGCAAATTAGGTAAAGGCATTAATTAAGCATGCGAAAGGCTGACTTTTTAGAACAAAATGAATAGTTAAAGGGCTTAAACTAAACCAAATTGTCTGAAAGTTTGTACAGGAATTAAAAAGCAGACTAATTTTCAATCTATTAACTCAAAATATGATTACAGCTTTTAAATTTTGTGCGCGAGCCATTTTTAATTTATTGGAAAAGACACACCCCCCTGGTTCACAAAATTTGAGTTCGAGAAATTTTTTTCATTATTTTACATTATAAGTATCCAAAGAAGCTATATATATAAAAAACAGATACAAATGGGTGTTTTGCGAAATTGAGAGCAATTTCAAATCTGTTCAGTTTTTTTTTATACACCCTGTATACTGCATGCAGCATTTATACATGCACACAGAAGAAACAGGGATCTGTCAATGCCAACTACACACGTAAAAACGCACAGGTTGTTACAGGTCTGCAAGCAAGCTGTTATACAAGTCTGTTCACAAAGTATCGAGAAGTTTTGTGCGCACTTCTTGCTCCCGCGGTTGTTGTAAGAGGCTGTTAACAACTTGTAATAAGCTTGACGGCATTATCATGCAGACTTGTTACAAGGTTGTTCTGACAAGTCTGATACACTTGTGATATAACAAGAATGTTACAAGTTTGGCGACACAACCTTGTAATAATATTGTTATATCATGACTGTATCGGACTTGTTGGAACAACCTTGCCACAAGTCTGATAATATCAACAAGCTTGTTACAACTTTTAACAAGTTGTTCCATACTTGTTCAGCCGTCGCCACTATAGAAATCTAGTCGATGAAATAAGATCTGAATATAATTTTAAGGTGGTGATCTGTTCGGCTTATGGCTCGACGAGAGTACAGCTGTGGTTCAATTTGTTCTCGGACCTGGCAAAGATTGTTGCAGGACAACAACATCGTTCTTTCAAGATATTTCCTATCTGCAAGACACCGGAAGCTATTTCACAAAACAGCACGGACTTTGCAACATTGGTCAATGGCATAGTCATCACGAAATACCGTTGCTTGAACCGAGTGCTGGTGATAACAATACTGTGTGGAGTAACATGCCTACATTAGGTATTTAACTATGTTTCTGTAGAGAGAACAGTTTAGAACTTTTAGTTTAGGTTTCCTCCTGCATAGTAACACAAGACAAATACACGTTTAAATGAAAGACCCCAACTTGGCCGCTAGGGAAAAGAGTTTAAATTAAGCTCTTTAATACTTACAGGTATGGAGAGATACATTGTATTCATCGCAAATATAAAAGACTCTGACGTCACAGTGAATGGCTTTCTGTTCGAGATTGAAAATGGTCGAAAGCTTCCAGTTAAAAAAGGCTGTCCTGTCGAGCTTCAAGGAGAAAGCCCCTTGCGTTTGAACAATGCCGTGATGAAAATCGTCAGGATTGGAGCCGAGAGCTTGAACAAGAACAACCAAGTGCATCGGCCTATAGAAGGGAACTCTGGTCAAAACGAAACTGAAAGCACAGAGATAGTCGATGAAGGAATCCATGGAGAGAATGGAATGTGTGATACTCCAAGTATTGATGACAGAGATAAGACAGTTTCTGCTAGTACGAGTGCCTCCGAAAGCAAGGAGATAGTTGATAACAGTGGAAGAGAGAACAGCAACAACGCTATCAACGACGACAACAGCAACAACAAAGACAACATCAGCCGCCAAAACAACAACAACGAGGACAACAATGTTGATAACAATAATGATAACAACGATATCAAAATCAATGGCGACAACAACGACAACAAAAACATCAGCGACAATAACAACCACCACAACAACAAGAACAGTAACAACAGCAACAACACAGACAACAACAGCAGCGGCTACACTACGAACAACAACAATAGCAAACAAAACAACAGTAAAAACACCATTCCTATCACCAACATCACCACCACCAACAACGAAAGTAAAACAGAACAGGAACAAGAAAAAACAGGCACACAAACCAAATTACCCGGAACTCCAGCTACGAGCGGTGGGACTGCTTCTAAACTACCTTCTTCCGCGCTATTAGGATTGAATGACATGTTGCAAACCCCATCCAACAAGAAACACCCAAACGAGCCCCAACAAGTTACAACCGAGCAACAATCTAACAGAGCAGGTGTTACCCCCTCAGATGAGTCTGCTCCGCTGAACGATAAGGGAACACAAGAAACGGAACCAGGAAATGACAAGTCAGTATTACATCGCAACAACAAGGGCAGCACCACAAACAACAATAGCAAACACAACAACAGTAACACCACCACTCCCACTACCGCTAACAATAACAACAGCAGCAACAACATCATCACGAACAACAATACCAAACAAAACAACAGTAACAACAGCAACAACACCACCGTTAACAACAACAACATCGCAATCAACAACAACAGCAAACAAACCAACAGTAACAACACCACTCCCATCACTGTAAACAACAACAACAACAGCGACAACAATAACACCACCACCACAGACAAGAACAACACCAACAACAGAAATAACACAGACAACAACAACAACAGAAATAACACAGACAACAACAACAACAACAACAACAACAACAACAACAACAACAACAACAACAACAACAACAACAACAATAAAAACAACAACACAGACAACAACAACAGCAACGACAACAACGAAAGTAAAACAGGACAGGAAGAGGAAAAAGCAGGCTCACGAATCGAATTAGAAGGAACTCCAGTTAAGGGTGGTTGGACTGCTTTTAAACTACCTGGAAATTCTTCCTCGCTTTCATCAACGAGAGATTTGAAAAGTACATGTAATTCAAGTAAAAATAAATTGCAAACCCCATCCAACGAGGAACACTCAAACGAGCCCCAACAACAAGTTACAATCGAGCAACAACCTCACAGAGCAAGTTTAACAAGAACCAAATTATCCGGAACTCCAGTTGAGGGCGGTGGAACTGCTTTTGAAATACCTGCACAACAACATAACGGAGGAAGTCACTATGATAATATTACCCCAGATCAGCCCGCTCCGCATGATAAGGAAAGAGGAGAAACAGAACCAGGACATGGCAAGTCAGTAGTAATACATCAGCCTGAATTGCAAAACGAAAATTCGATGGTAAATGCGAGCAGTGAAAAGGATAATCCATCTAATCAGGAGGACAGTAACACAAATTTGTCTAGTAGTGTACGGAAGAGGCGCCGAATGTGTTTCTCATGCGGATTGTGTTTCTTACGCAGTTCTTAGTGATTTAAAATGTTCACTTAAATTTAATGCTGGTTTTAAAATTTTAACATGTTTTGATGAAACAAAGTATAATATAAACGATTCTATCAAAGACAGCTTGCAACGGTGCAAAACTTATTTAAATACAATAATCAGTAAATTAATAATAATACATTTATAAGTTATAAGTTATAAAGCGCAAGTTCTCATTAAAAATTTTCAGATGCGCTAAATATACTTTGGATCCCCACTAGACCAAACAGACTATAGTGAAATTGGGCTCTTGGCCCAGACAAGAGTTATATAATCCCATGTATATAATTACTGTTTTGAATGAAACGAGGGTCTGTATCATAGAGGATTCTGTAGAATTAGTATAACACAATAACATGTTATTTTCAAGGAAAATATATGATATTTGTTGGGACCTGATCAATAGCCAATTGTTTTGTCCTTTTAATTTAATTTAATTTAATTTACTTTAATTTAATGTAAAATGTATTCATTCAAGTCTGTTGATGTCTTTCAAATGTCTTCCAAAGCTGAAAAACAATGCCTTTGAAAAAACTGCAATTTATCGACCTCTTTCCTATAGCTTCAACGAAGATAATTTCACAAACTCTATAATCCTAATACAATGTGAGCACAAACAGCGAAATAGACCTGCTGTTTGGCTGAAGTTAAAATAATTCAACTATTTATGTTATGCAACAATCATGCAAATTCGATGTGCATTTCCTAGTATAACCATTGTTTAATTTAAATAATGTAAAGTGAAACAATTAAAATAATATCGAAAAGTCGCAGTTCACAACTGAATATACCAACCTAAACCGTCGCAATATTGTTTGCAAACTCATTTTAAGTTAAACATGTCTGGGGCAATGGACCTTTTACCTCCAGAAGCGAAGAATAGCAAACGGGAAAGCGAATTCAAGATCTACATCAGCAAAGGCGAGCTGGAACGAATTCACGAGTGGGTAAAAGCGAAACCTGATATCCAAACAGGTTAATGTTGTTTACATGTTTATTGCAACGTAAATAAATAAAATACAGTAAATATCCGAACCATCATCTTCTCAATGAAAGGCTGCAATGGTTCTTAAATAACGTTTCCTTCGCATGAGATAATACAGAGTCGTATCTAGGTCTGCAAACAAGCTGTTATACAAGTCTGTTCAAAAGCTGTTGTCAAGTTGTGTTCGCATTGCTTGTTCCCAGTTGTTGTAACAAGTTTGGAACAAGCTGTTAACAACTTGTAACAAGCTTGATGGCATTATCAGATTTGTTACAAGGTTGTTCTAACAAGTCTGATACAGTCATGATATAACAAGAATGTTACAAGTTTGGAGACACAAAGTTGTAACAACAATATCATGACTGCATGTATCTGACTTGTTGGAACAACCTTGCAACAAGTCTGATATATCAACAAGGTTGCTACAACTGTTAACAAGTTGTTTCATACTTGTTGACAACTTGGGACAAGCAGTGCGAACACAACTTGTTGACGGCTTGTCGGCAGACTTGCTACAAGATCGAAGATTTTTGCGTGTGTAGTTGGGCAAGCGTAGGCAAGCTTATAAGCAGCTAGTTCGTCTTGACATACAGTAAGATGCTCTGTCTGTTTGCCGCATTATACAACATGCAAGGAGTAACAAATCAACTATCTTTTCTTCGCCCAAGTCCGTCCAGACAGATCAGCTGTCGCTAGGATAGGTCTATTCACGAAATAATATCTGAATATAATTTTAAGGTGGTGATCTGTTCGGCTTATGGCTCGACGAGAGTACAGCTGTGGTCCAATTTGTTCTCGGGCCTGGCAAAGATTGTCGCAGGACAACAACATCGTTCTTTCAAGATATTTCTTATCTGGAACATGCCGGAAGCTATTTTACAAAACAACACGGACTTTGCAACATTGGTCAATGGCATAGTCATCACAAAATACCGTTGTTTGAACCGAGTGCTGGTGATTACAATATTGTGTGGAGTAACATGCCTACATTAGGTATTTAACTATGTATTTGTTTTGCGATATAGTGAAGTATAAATATATCTTTTGGACAATTTTTAATACTTTCGCTTCAGTCTCTCTGACCGAGGTTTGTTTCCTGCGATAAACAATTGTCTGAGAGTCGAATGCTTCTAGTTTGACTCTGTGAAGGGAGAACAATTTAGAACGTTTCAGTGTAAATAAAGTTAGTTTAGTTCAGGTTTCTTCCTGTATACTAACATTGGACAAATACAGGTATCAAGGAATGGCCCTAACTTGGCTTCCAAAGAAAAGAGTTAAAATTAAGCTCTTAATTCTTACAGGTTTGGAGAGATTTATTGTATTTATCGCAAATATAAAAGACTCTGAGGTCACAGTGAATGGCTTTCTGTTCGAGATTAAAAATGGTCAAAAGCTTCCACTTAAGAAAGGCTGCATTGACGAACTTCAAGGAGAAAGCCCCTTGCGTTTGAATAATGCTGTGATGGAAATCGTTAGGATTGGAGCTGAGAGCTTGAACGAGAAAGATCAAGTGCCTAGGCCTATAGAAGGAAACTCTGGTCAAAGTGGAACTGAAAGCACAGAGATAGCCGATGAAGGAATCCCTGGAGAGAATGGAATGTGTGGTACTCTTAGTATTGAGGACAGAGATAAGACAGTTTCTGCTAGTACGAGTGCCTCCGAAAGCAAGGAGATAGTTGATAACAGTGGAAGAGAGAACAGCAACAACGCTATCAACAACGACAACAGCAACAACAAAGACAACATCAGCCGCCAAAACAACAACAAGGACAACAATGTCGATAACAATAATGATATCAAAATCAATGGCGGCAACAACGACAACAAAAACATCAGCAGCAATAACCACCACAACAAGAACAGTAACAACAACAACAACAACAACAACAACAACAACAACAACAACAACAACAACAACAACAACAACAACAACAACAACACAGACAACGACAACAACAGCAGCAGCAACACTACGAACAACAACAATAGCAAACAAAACAACAGTAACAACACCACTCCTACCACCAACATCACCACCACCACCAACAACGAAAGTAAAGCAGGACAGGAACAAGAAAAAACAGGCACACAAACCAAATTACCCGAAACTTCAGCTACGAGCGGTGGGACTGCTTCTAAACTACCTTCTTCCTCGCTATTAGGATTGAATGACATGTTGCAAACCCCATCCAACAAGAAACACCCAAACGAGCCCCAACAACAAGTTACAACCGAGCAACAACCTAACAGAGCAGGTGTTACCCCCTCAGATGAGTCCGCTCCGCTGAACGATAAGGGAACACAAGAAACGGAACCAGGACATGATAAGTCAGTACTACATCGTAGCAGCAGCAGCAACACCACAAACAACAACAATATCAAACACAACAACAGTAACAACACCACTCCCACCACCGCTAACAATAACAACAACAGCAGCAACAACATCATCACGAACAACAATACCAAACAAAACAACAGTAACAACCCCACTCCCATCACTGTAAACAACAACAACAACAGCGACAACAATAACACTACCACCATAGACAAGAACAACACCAACAATAGCAATAACACAGACAACAACAACAACAACAACAACAACAACAACAACAACAACAACAACAACAACAACAACAACAACAACAGCAATAACAACATCAATAACAATAAAAACAACAACACAGACAACAACAACAGCAACGACAACAACGAAAGTAAAACAGGACAGGAAGAGGAAAAAGCAGGCTCAGGAACCAAATTACAAGGAACGCCAGTTGAGGGCGGTGGGACTGTTTTTAAACTACTTGGAAGTTCTTCCTCGCTTTCATCAACGAGAGATTTGAAAAGTACATGTAATTCAAGTAAAAATAAATTGCAAACCCCATCCAACGAGGAACACTCAAACGAGCCCCAACAACAAGTTACAATCGAGCAACAACCTAACAGAGCAAGTTTAACAAGAACCAAATTATCCGTAACTCCAGTTGAGGGCGGTGGAACTGCTTTTGAAATACCTGCACAACATCATAACAGAGGAAGTCACTATGATAATTTTAGCCCCTCAGTTGAGCCCGCTCCACGTGATAAGGAAAGAGGAGAAACAGAACTAGGACATGACAATCAGGAGTAAAAAAACAGCCTGAATCGCAAAAGGAAAATTCGATGGTAAATGTGAGCAGTGAAAAGGATAATCCATCTGATCAGGAGGATGGTGACAGGCATTTGTCTGGTAGTGTACAGAAGGGGCGTCGAATGTGTTACTCCTTCAGTTCTTAGTTATTTAAAATGTTCACTTAAATCTAATGCTGGTTTTAAAATTTTAATACGCATTGATGAAACAAAGTATAAACGATTTTATCAAAGACAGCTTAATTGCGACGGTGCAAAAAATGCAATAATGAGTGAATTAATAATAATACATAAATTTTCAGATGCGCTAAATATGTGAAAAATGTTCAGATGCACTTTAAATGATAGTGAAATTGGGCTCTTGGCCTAGACAAGAGTTATATAATCCCATGCATATAATTACTATTTTGAATGAAATGAGAGTCTGTATCATAGAGGATTCTGTAGAATTAGTATAACACAATAACGTGTTATTGGTATGATATTTATTGGGACCTGATCAATTGCCACAGAATGCTGTATATATTAGAGCAGTGTCAGTAAAAGAGAGTTGTCAATCAGAACTGGAAAGGTTTAACTGTATTGTATGTAACTTCAACATTATTATCTTTACCATTTAACAATTAGATTATGGGCTCGAGATTTCTATGAGGTGATAGTTGATGAGGGCAAAGCCCGAATCAACTACCACCAAATTCGAGAGCGAATAACCTTAGAAAAACGCGAGACGGAAGACATTTAAAAAAAAAAGCGCCAGGAAAATGATTGTTTTGCTACTCGCTATCTACCGAGGAATAGATACCGAGGAATAGATACCGAGGAATAGATACCGAGGAATAGATACCAAGGAATAGATACCGAGGAATAGATACCGGGTAGAGCAGCCAATCAAATTACAGCATTTGCAATAGTATACTAGTATGATTCTACTAATAAATAAAATATAGCTAGCACATATACCAAACCATTTTCAGGGGGTCAGACAATTCCAGTAGACAAACTAAAACAAACTAACCCCAATATTGTTTTATTATTAACTCATTGTGCACCAGCACTCTCCCCTTGACAAGTGAAATCGTCTGGCATTAGACAGAGCGAAATAATAAAGTAAGGTGCATCAGGGTGTATTGCCACTTAAAGGGTTAAATTTAGTTCTTACCTGTGTGTCCTCAACAGAGGTCGGCAAGCCTTTCAACATGATGATCTCGCTCGGCTCTTCGCGGTATTCTCGACGATACTCTCTATCGTCGTGGTAGCGATCATGCGGTCGATGTTCTGACCAATATCTGTCATCCTGGGAAAAAATAAAGACTTTTTATCTCTTGGGCCTTCGTTTAAAAAGTCGAAGTTTTACTTGTTTTTTTTTTCTCCTCAGGTAGTTGAAATGTTGAATCTCTATCCTATGCGCAGTTTTCACGTGTTTTGTCACTACGTAGACCTACGCTGGGTCAGATTGTTCGATCTTTTATATTTCATTGGCTGTAAATCTCCTGGCAAAGATTGAGACGCTCGAAACACAAGCCATAGCAGCTATTATATTTACTCATAGCTATCAAATAGGGCTGTACTGGATACTGCTTGGCTGGAAACTACACTAATGCCATATAATTTGAAAATATAATTTTTAGAGGGTGTTTATTTTTTTCTGAGAATACTACACCATTTATGAAAATCATAAAACATGGGTTTCATTAATTATGGGAACCAATAATTTATAACTCCGAATAACATTTTGATTTTTTTTTAATTGAACTATTATTCGAAATTTTAAATAATTGATAGGTCAGAGTCAGACCACTAGTCTCTGTTGTTATCTAAGGAGTCTTTTGCTTTACGCAGACGAAAACCGGATCTCAACCACGGTGAAATTCCAAAGACCTTCTCATCTTTCATTGACATTAATGCCATTGACATTATAATAGCTGTAATTTTACACTATTATTAATCCTGAGGCTGACTACAAACTAGTCGAAACGTCGATTAAAAATCAAAATGTTATGCAGAGCTATTTTGTATGGGTGTTCATGATGTTGCAAACTTACGTCATTTCTATATCTGTCTCTGTAGTCTCGTCTTCTGTCGTCATCTCTGTCGTCATATCTGTCGTCATATCTGTCTCTTCTCCAGTCTCTCTCCTCACGATCTCGGTAATCCCTCTCGTCACGGTCCCGATAGTCATAGTCCCTTCTATCGCGGTACCGGTCAGGCTCCCGACCTCGCGACGGCCCGTCACGATATCTCTCTCCATTCCTCCCCCTATCTTCACTGCCACCGCCATAGTAACTATCTCGACCCCTCCTCCGAGGTTCGTCCCTGCCCCAATCTCTGCCGCGGTTATGGTCCCTTTCCTCCCAGTCATCGTCACGCCAACGACGAGGGCTACGGCTTCTCTCTCTACTCCGAGAACTCTCTTGGTCCGACCGATCTTGGCCGTCCCGATTGTTTGGAGCTTTTTGTTGAACGTCTCGCCCAAACTCGTCACTTACTGGTTTACGTTCATCGTCGTCCTTATTCGTCCTACTTTGTTCCCTGAACGCGCTCAGTTGTTTACCAATGTCCTTCTCAAGATTATCGCCAGAAAGTCGGCTTTGACCCCTAAGTTAAGGCCAAACACAAATTAACCCATTAACTTGCATTGTGCTCTAATGCGCCTCAGTGTATTTTGAAAATATTATCTGGCATGAAGCATTTTACTTCGGTATTCTAGCAAAAGAACATAATTTCCTTCAAGTGTTATATAGGAATGTTCGGTATGAGAAATTTCCGGTATCGGTATACCGAAAAAATTATACCGATATTATCGGTATATCGGTTTTCCTTTGATAATTATAAAGGAAAATTCTTTAATGGAAGTTTGAAAGAAATTTTGAGTAATTCTAAAAGGGAAAACGATAATTTCGAAGCTGTTTCGAACGACATGAACATACTCAGTGTAAAATCTCACTGAAGTGGAAATTCTAAATCATTGCAGTAGAAAGTTCTTTAATTGCCATTCAGTAGTAAAATAAAGGTTATGGTTTCACCATATAGTTGGTAAATTTAACACGGTATACCGAAAAATTCCAGTATATCCGAAATTTCGGTATGGTTGATAATCCGGTATCGATATACCGATATTGATTTAATACCGATATTTTCGATATATCGGTATACCGAACAGTCCTAGTGTTATATTGCACACAGATTTTGAAAGATTTTGTGATAATTTCACTAGCGAACCATAGCGTAGACATTTCAAATGGCAAGTACAATTATTATAGTAGCTGCAGCTGTATTTAACTGAGTTAACTTTAATACAGGATAATATATCCAGCTTGCCACAAGACAAGTTAAAGGGTTAACTGTTATCTGTTAACATGTTATCGATTTACAACACTCCTTCATAACATCGATTTGAAGTTAAGTTACGCATGCATATGGCAATATGAATATGGCCCCTAAGGAATTAAAATTTTAATAGTGCATGTAAAACTGATATAAATTCATCCAATTGTGGTCTGTTTGGCAATTGGCATCAATACAAATTTTACTAGCATTAAAATTAAAAGTATTAATATAAAATTGACCAAACCTGCTACCACTCTTTGACTCGCTACTTCCTTTCTTCATATTAACCTCGTCCATCTATAGAACAGGACAAAATATATGAAAATATCTACAATACTTTCAATACATATATATTTATACATTTACATGTAAATTTTTTCAACATGGCCACAAAACACACACACTAAAACTGCCGATATTTCAGTGAATTTTAAACCGATTTCTCTCAAAACAAGTCGACATACCTCTATCAATGGTAGAGAACTCCACGCCATATTTCAAGTTTCAATTCTCATCTCAAAAACGGCAAAAAATGAAGATAAAATTTGAAATCTGTTTCCCCAACACGATTTCGTCTCGTCCCCAATCCCCACGCGAGTTATGCTAAGTAAGCGCAGGTATTGAACTGTGTAATGTAACTGGAGTGGCGAAATTCTTCTTTTTTTGCCCTTTCTCGATATGCTATAGACCGAGGATTAATACGGAGCGTTTGGGTTGAATAACTCAGTAACGGTATTCCTTACTTGTCCAGTATTATTACAGGAGAAAACATAAACTAATCTAACTTTATTTATACTGGATAGCTCTATCAATTCTAAACTTCTCCCTAGAGGTCAAGTAAGCATCATCTCTTATTGATGCAGTGTTTCTACAGGAGGAAACCTAAACTAAACTAACTTTATTTATACTGGATAGCTCTATCAGTTCCAAACCGTTCTTCCTGGAGGTCCAGTAAGGATAATCTCTTGTTGATCCGGTGTTACTAAAGGACGAAACCTAAACTAAACTAACTTTATTTATACTGGATAGCTCTATCAGTTCCAAACTGTTTTCCCTTGCAGTCCAGTAAGGGTCACCTCTTATTGATCCAGTGTTACTACAGGAGGAAACCTAAACTAAACTAACTTTATTTATACTGGATAGCTCTATCAGTTCTAAACTGTTCTCCCTAGAGGTCCAGTAAGGGTCATCTCTTATTGATCCAGTGTTAAAACAGGAGGGAACCTAAACTAAACTAACTTTATTTATACTGGATAGCTCTATCAGTTCTAAACTGTTCTGCCTAGAGGTCCAGTAAGGGTCACCTCTTATTGATCCAGTGTTACTACAGGAGGAAACCTAAACTAAACTAACTTTATTTATACTGGATAGCTCTATCAGTTCTAAACTGTTCTTCCTAGAGGTCCAGTAAGGATCATCTCTTATTGATCCAGTGTTACGCACAGGAGAAAACCTAAACTAAACCGATTTTTTCACGGTTTTTAGTTAAAAACGGTCGAAGACATAGTCGGTTTCATTGGAACAAAAAAGTAATTGGGCAAGCTATTAGTTGAGTTTCATCGTAATTCTTTCTTACTGATTTAACAACTAACTTAATTGGCATATATCTAAGTAAATGTTATGCTCAAAACATCTAATGTAAGTCGCACGTGAAAGAACATATGCAACAGACAAAATTATCGGTTATTTGCTAACACATCTTACTATTTTTATGCATCATTAATTCTGTTAATTTTGTTTTCCAAAAACAACTGCTTCCTTGCAAATCAAAATTATCTTCTAAATTTATCATTTACTAAACATTTACTTTCTAAATTTATCATTTAATTGCTTCGTTCGAATTCAAGCTAGTTATGAAAATTAAGATTATATTTGCAATGGCGATATAATGTCCGTCAAAATTCTTACTATATGCGACAGTATACCCACGCTAAAATGCAGAACACTGTTATTTTGTTTGTTCAATTAAGAAAATATCGTTAATTTCTTCAATTGTGCCCTTAATAAACGTGGGAGGGGAATTGAAGCAGTTTAGAGGAGATGACTTTACTGGACCTCTAGCGAGAACAGTTTAGTACTGATAGAACTATCCAGTATAAGTAAAGTTAGTTTAGGTTTCCTCCTGTACAGTAGTAACACTGGATCAATAAGAGATGATCCTTACTGGACCTCTAGGAAGAACTGTTTAGAACTGACAGAGCTATCCAGTATAAAGTTAGTTTGGTTCAGGTTTCCTCCTGTAGTAACACTGGATCAATAAGAGCTGACTCTTACCAGTGCCGTAGCCAGAATGATAATTGGAGGGGGGGGGGGGGGGCACA